CCTACCTGCGATCAGCCTTGACATCGCAGGGGGAGCAGTTAAAATGGTCCCCCGAAGCATCCAACAACGGTTTTGGGCACTGGATGCCAATTTGCAGATCTTTCATGGGTGCTTCGAAAACTGTCTTTCAAGACAGACTGTCGTGTATTCCATCGCTCGTCGGTTGGAGGCCATCGCTGTTGGAGGCCATCGCGTTCGTACGGAAGGATCCTCTGAAGAGGTGCAGTGTAGATGACAATTTGGGCATCATAGGAACCATCATCCGCGAAGGCCGGCCGGGCAGCGAAGAAGTGGAAGTGGAGGCACGACGAGAATTGATTCATTGAGCTTCCAGGCTGATGACGAGCCTAGTATTTCTTTCTTGAACTTCTCATGCAACAGGCTTTGTTCCTTTGCATGTCGGCATAGCTTGTGAGAATAAAGGTTGCCCCAACCAGAAAATTCACAATCAAGCGTTTTCACACTTGCTGAGACATTTGTACTTCAAAGGGTTTAGTCACATATAGATTGCTTAAGCCTTTCGGCTCAACAGTATTTGGCTGTCGGTGGCCTCATGAAGGGTGAAAGGGCGCCAAGAGTCGGCTTGGCTGGTGGGGTGAGTCGGCTTGTCTTTGTGCTTGGCTCGGCTCTATCTCTTCAAGGCTGTGGCACTCAGAGCGAGAAATGTCCCTGTTGGCGCCGCTTAAGTGAGGACGACGCCGCTGAGCGCCCGGAGGACGATGCGGAGCGCCCGGGCCGTCAATTGTCATCCAGGCGTCGTCGATCCTTCACTTCCTCTCCTAGAGAGTACAGTGAGTTTTGTTGTGAGGCTCTGATTTTAAGCACGACGGCCTGGCCGACTTGGAACCTCTATGCCTATGGCTACGGCTATGGCGAAGAGACCACCACTGAAGCCTATGGCTATGGCGAAGAGACCACCACTGAAGCCTATGACTATGGCGAAGAGACCACCACTGAAGCCTATGGCGAAGAGACCACTACTGAAGCCTATGGCTCTCAACAGACCACGACTGAAGGCCCATTGACAAGCTGGGTAGGTGGTCCATGGCAGTATCCATCAAATTACAGCATATTCCCAAATGCTGATTGGTCAAGGGTACGATTTGTGGAGGAGTCCTACCAGCCTGAATCGTGCTCGTGGACGTGGCGGAAAGACAATGCCTTCTTTGCAGTTGATATCTGCATTCCGTTGGTGCGATTTGGAACTTCCCACATGTATGCCTACATTGATGACTCACTCATGTACGCTGAGTGGGATAGTTTGGATTGCAGTGGAGAAGTGAAAGAAACCAGGTCATGGAGCTCCCATTGCCAGTATGCCACATCAAACGCCAATTACAAAAGCATTGGCCCGTCATTGAGTCTCATTCACCAGCTTCCTGAGCGCACTGGACACCTTGAATACTCATTGAATATGACCGGGGCAGCTTGGGCGTATGGCATTTATCCGGATTCCAGTTGCACCGGTGAGCCGACTGAGATCTGGGTGAGCCCCCTCAATGCTTGCAAGCGCGAAGCGTATGGTTCCTACAAGATGATGTGCGAGAACGGACACCTGGAAGCGCTGATTGGCGTCTATTTTCTATTCTTTTCCATGTTTGTAGAACCCCCCTTCTTTTCTTAGGGATGAAAGATCTCTCCTTTCAAGATCCCAGATCAAGGAAAGGTGGTGCAGCATTACCACGAGGCCATACAACACGAAGATGGATGCGCCGACTTCGATGCTCAATGTCTGTGCAAAGCACAGATCCCGCTGCCTGATGACACCAAGGGATTTGATCAACTTTCAACGTCAGCCTGCACCGCCTTCAACGTGGGTGCGTTCTACCTTGAGGAAATTAGGTACTTCAAAGTCCTTGCCGGATGTAGTTGACATTCTGGTAAAGGACATGATTATACATATGTATACTTCAAGGTTCTTGCCCGGATGTAGTTGACGCTCGGGTATGAACTTCCAGACATGGATCAGAGTCGCTGGCTCCAAAAGCGCCTGTCTTAGACAGCCGCTTCGAACTTCTCGCGAGGCCTGGCGGCCTTGTGCGACGCAAAAGGGACGTCGAAAGCTGGAGCCCGGAACCCACCGTAGGCTGATGCTCCGGCCGTCTATTTGGTTTATCCCCGGGACAAAGATCCGGGCTTTGGCCGGTAGCACCCACAGCCGTTGTTTCAGGTTCCAGAAGACTCCGCGAAGGCCATCTGCGACAGGCGCACCCTTTGGGAGGCATCGGAAGGGCAGATTCTTGGCACTGGCTTCTCTTTCAACCCGAAAAAGAACATGCTATGCTTCCTTCATGTTCCGCCTTGGGCTCTGTCACTTGGAGGTTGCCAGCATATTTTTGAGGAATCATTGCTCCCCAATGTCTCGCAGTGCACAATCTCTTTGCTGATCCTGAAGTATCGATCGCACAGTTCGAGTAGGCAGGCCTACTGGGTGAACACCCAAACTGTTGCATCCAGGAGTTCGTGACACGCAAAAGAGTTTGCTTTTGGGCCATTTGTGTCAAAGAACGTGAATGTTCGGGTGAACCAATTGGTTCGGAACTGGTTCCTGTTGGGCAACATTTCCGCGCAAAGATCCCTCAGGCGATGCTGAAGCAGTGTCCGACACTCAAAAGTCTCCTGGAGATGAGCAAGTTTTCAGTTGATCAGGAGTGACTCGACGGGCACATCTTTAACGAAAAGGGAGAATGCAGGTGGAGCCAATCCCTCCAACAGGTTTTTGTCGAAATGGTGCTTGTGTTGAAATGATCTCTGTTCCTTCCTTTCCTTAGCCAAACTTGAAGTTCCAGCCTCGAGAGTTCCTGGTGGCTCTCTTTCAAACGAAAGATCAGTTTCTTCGGTTGAACCTCCAAACCGGACTCCACGGACTCCGCGAGCACCCGTCGTTCACTCGGCGGAACACTGGTCGTTCACACCGGGACTCCAAGGACCAGAGCGCAGGAGATGGGGCTGCCGATGAGGCACCCTCCAGCTGAAGAGGTCGGTCGCTGGCGGCCTCGGGCTGTCAACACTGGAAATCACCAGGGGCCCACCGTGGCTCTGGCTCTTCTGGGCCGGGGCTGCACAGAAATCGGGTTGGGCTGTCCTTCAGCTTCTTTCGGTGTTGCACTCACTTTCGGTGATAACTGATGAAAAGCAACGAAGCAAAGCTTTTAACTGCGTAATGATGTGTGGTGCAGAGCCGTGATGTGTGGTGCAATTTTTCAACCCACTTGGAGCAGCATTGCCAGGTGGGAACAGGTGCTCAGGTGCTCAGCAATGACTTCTCCCAGACCCTCTGGAAAATCTGATGGACCTGAGTGCTTAATAGTTTACTATCCTCATGAACTGATAGGTCTCATAGGCCTCTAGGAGTCCAAATTGAACCATGTGGGATGAGCCATGCCAGCGGAGTGCTTTTCCCCTTCATGCGGAGCACAGAAGTCCTTCATGAGATCGAACCTGGGCGTAGCGAACTACGCGTCCTTGAGATAGGCCGGGCGTGTGCGATTGGCTGTGCGCCCAAGCTGAAAGGAGATGCCCGGCCGTTGGTGGCGTTGGTCGTTGGCAATTAGCAGAACTGATTTGCTTTGGCACATGGCGAGAGATTTGGACATGTCAGTCTTTCACCTTCAATCCGGGTTAGAACAGGTGGAGAGAGAGAGAGAGAGAGGGTGACACACACACACACACAGAGTCAAGTCACACAGTGAGTCTGAATGCAAATGCTTTTGCTCTTCAAACTGGATCCTCTTGGAAGGGGAGTTCTTGAGAACTTGCAATTTCTTTGCTCTCCAACCGAGCGCTTAGAGGACCACCTCCAATAGATGGAGCCCCCATCTGGCTGTGATGAACTGGCACCAGGAGACCGATGGACTGGTCGGGCACGACGTATTTGGTGGACTGGTCGGATGGAGGGCTCCAGGTCTCTTCCATCCGACCAGTTCCACCGTCCCTGCCGATTGGTTTGGGTCTGTTTCGGTCCAACATGGCCAGACAGATGCTCGGTTCGCCCGACTGGTCCTTCAAAGCCTAGGGATTGAGTGATTGGTGAAAAACCCCCCAGACTCACAGACTCCACCAACTCACAGAGGTCCAGACTGGACCAGTCGGACCAATCGACCCAATCGGTGAAGGTCCGTCCATGTCCCTCGGTGCTGCGAGTGGAGGAAGAAACATGCTCGTGGCGAGCGGAAGCCCGGAGATGCAGACGGGAGGGGCTTTGGAGCTGAATTGAGGATTGCTAATTCGTATTTTTCATTTCTTTTTGGACAAACACTTCAGACCTTTCTTTGTTCTTTTGTGTTTCTTGCTTTGCTTCTTCATGTTTCTTCCGCTAATCGTTTGGAAAACATAGGAGCAGATCGGTTATTTCAGAGTATCAAGGCCTCTGAAGGGAAGCCTCATGACAACGGCCCTCGACTTCGGATGATCTTTGCGACGTTGAGGATTTCTAGATACCCAATACCCAAGCTAGCTTTGTAGTGGTCCCCCAATAGATAGAACCTTTTTCCAAGACATTCTGAGTGGGGAACTACTGTTCTATCTACTTGGGAGTCCAAAGACTTAAGTACTTGCACACATGTTTTGGGGCCTTGGAACTCCGAAGAAGAGGTACAGAACATTAAACTTGTGATTGGTCGCTTCCCACGAGCACTTCTTTCTATCGTTACTTGGAGCATCGGACGAAACACTCCATTTGGTGGTTGTGTTTCAGCGGAAAAACCTCTATGAAAGCCACAAATCATGAGGGTTTTGAGGAACTTGGTATTGATGCTGGATATTGACACTGCATTGGGCTGCATTGGGAAAGTGGAACGTGTTTCGAGACTACTTATTGTGGACGGAAAGGAGATGTTCTCAGCACAGCTCTCCGGCAGTCCCAGCCGCCTGGAATGGCGCACTGGTTTTTTCGACTTGAGCATGTCCCGTGAGGTCGAGATGAAGCCAGTTGATTCCAAGGAGCTGAAGTGAAGTACTAGTAGAGTCTACGGGCTGAGCGTGCAGCAAATGAATCACGGGAGCACCTGAAGTGAAATGGGGCGCCGGCGCTTTGTTTTCTGGCTTTCACGCGTGGGAGACCCGGTCGCAACGTAACCTGGCAGCTCTTTGGCGTCGGCTTCCCCCGTTCCCTGGGGTTCCCCTTTGGCGGCTGCGCTGGCAACCAGAGAGGCGCCCCAAAACCATGTAGGTGGCGGGGAGTCTGAATCAGATGCTCGTCTCTGAATCAGATGTCCGAGTGCTTCGAAGCTAAGACATGCGGGGGGGGACATCGATTCCGAAGATCTACTGTAAGGATCCGTAAGGTACATCCACTCATTGAGGAAGATGAACTGCAGAGGAGGAAGATGTAGAACATGACCTTTCATCAGCTTTCCACCTCAAGCGATCATGAAGCACCTCCGGATTGATGGTCAAAGTACCGAGTTCTAGGGGGCTTGTATGTCTGGGTTCTGTTGGGGGCGGTGGTTACGGATAGCCATGCCTTCGGTGGGGTTCTACAATGAGAGTGTAGAACTTGACTGGCACTTCAGGGCCTTCAGGGCTCTCAACACCTATTCGAGTTTTGAGCCTCAAAAAGTGGAGCGTTCCCGGAGGTCGTTTTTTTCCATCTGAGCCAAATCTGATCCCTGAAACTTTGATCTCGGTGGAAGAACTGCGGACCCCGTTGCACGCCGCGGCTGTCGTTGTTTCTGGTCAGAGTCCCGTGCCGGGCACGCGGCAGCCGCATGCGCCGGGTCCGCTTGAGGGCTCAGGCCAATGAAGCTGCTTGGCAGGGTGGAGTGAAAACACCTGAGGCAGAGGCGCATGGATTGAAAGGAACCAGGAATGAGAGGTTTTCATCACCGGAACCAACGCTGTGGATTTCGATTCGCCTATCTTCGCCCAAACGGATTGATTCACATCATTTGGGTGGGCGTAACTCCGAGACAGACTGATGGCGTCCTCCTGCAACCCATCGGATCCTCATCTCTCTCGAGCCCGAAAGCTTCTCGGGTTCGGCGCAAAAGCTCCGCCGACCCTTCCCGAGGTGGTCTGGGGCAGGGGCCCCATGCCTGGTGCTTCTGACCGTGAGCCTCGTGGAGGTGTCACACAGCATCGTTCGGCGCCCCCGGCCTTGCGAGCGCGTTCGTGCGTGACCGTAGGCGCCAGGTGCGGTGGAGGGGCGTTGGGGGGGCGTAGGCCCTTGGGGTGTGGACGGTTTCTTGATGGGGTTTCGGAGCTTGAATGACCGGCTTGAAAGAATTCGTTGGGTGTTGGAAGGATTCTGCAGGTCCATCGAATCGTCGGGTTCCTGTTCATGCGAATCGTCCGCTTTGGAAGTTCCTCGACGTGGGTTGATGGTCTTTCCCTTTTGGAGTTCATGTTTGCTCTGTTTGAGAGGATGCACGTTTTCATCTTCTCATTGTTGATCTATTTGTCAGACCAGGGATGAGTACTATATATATAGTCTTGTTGGAGAGACTGAGCAGGATTTTGTCTAGACCATGAAGCTTTGGTCTTCAAGCAGATGGTGACGGACACTTCATGAAGCTTTGGTGTGCACGCCGTGTGCACGCTTGGAAAACGCATCTGAACTCGTTCCGACCGCGTACGAGACGCAGAACTGCTGAACTGGTCCAGAAGAACTGGGACTTCCTTTGCGCGGTGGTTGGAGCTCTTGGCTTAACCAAGCAACCAGTTCATGTAGATGGTAGATGAACAGTTATGCCCCCTGGCGCCTGGAGATGCAGTAAAACCATTCTGGAGACCGGGGTTTTGAGTGATCAAGAGTCTAACTTATCATGTTTTTGGTCACACATCCGATTTAAGGTGGTTCATTCTAGGTAGACTGCTAGGCATTCCCTGGTCCACTATCCCCCCGAGGTCTACCTCCAACCAACTTGTCAAGGATCGGAATTCGTCTCACTGGAAGCATTTGGGTTGTGTCTGCAATCAAAGGGCACGACAAACTGCTGGATCGAAGAAAGTGGAACCCTGAGCAAGGTAACGAAGTGCCCACATGTAAGGAAGCCTGTAGACTCTTCCAGGATTTGGCGCTTGTTCGAAAGATTGGACAAGGCACCTTGGACTGCTCCTGGCCTCAAGAGCACATACATGATTCCTACCCCACCTCGAGGATCACTGAGAAAGATGGTGCATTCGCCACCCCTGCCAGTCCACGATGCCCAGGCCATCCAGTCCTATGCTGAACAGTTGAAGGAGGCAGATGATCTAGAGATTGTTGCTTTCAGAGTTGCGATTTCCCTGCAAGAACAAGCCCTAGGGCTCCAACCACCTCCTGAGAAGATGGTTGGAGTGGGATGGGGGTGTCTAACCACCCTCTGAGGAGATGGTTGGAGCCCTAGGGAAGAACCCCTTGGGCGGACTAGTTGCGGATTCAGAAAGCGCACCGACAGATGGGAGATTGAACAAGTACAGTAACCTATTCACAGAGAGCTCAACTAAAACACGATCGATTTTGGACACCTCTAATCGGAGACTCAAACATCATCTCCGAAACAGCTCACGGCACAACCCAAACAAAACGCTGAAATCGAGAGAGCATGCCAAATCTGAACATGCTGTAGGAACGGAGTGATTTGAAAGGTTTCCAAGCCTTGGAAGTTTTGTTCTGACCCAGCCTGATCGACTGGAAGACATGGTAAACGAAGTGAGATCGTGGGTTCAGAGAGCGGCAAACAGCTCACAAGGACAAATGATGCTGCTAGTATTGCAACTGAGGACATATAGCATTTCTAGCATCAAAAAGAATCGTTACATGTAACTTTTTTTCCATTGAAGCTCAAATTGATGCGGCCATGTCCGCCTTCCCAGAGTCATGGTCTTCCTTCTGTGGCGTCACCTTGGTCCTTCACTGCCCTTCGCGGACTCCTTGGGAGAGAAAAACGTCTTCCCTGTGGATGGAACAAGGCCCTCAGATCTGCGCGGCACGCCCCTCTTGGCTGTGTCGCGGCCCCTTTTGGCAGGAATTGACGAGAGTGGAACAATTCCTGGAGCGCCATGTCAGGAAAGGTTTTTCCTATGAGTCTTTTCCACTTCCATGTCACTTTCAAGTGAGTTCCAGAACAGAAGTCCCTTTCACCTCGCAGCCGGCCCCTCCGAAGCTCTCGGCACTGCTCCACCGCGGACTTTTGGGTCTGGCGAGACGCTCCGCCATCGGCTTTCGGACGGTCGGATTTGGGTATGGGATATATACAGTTTGAACAGGAAGTTGCGAGAAAGACGAGACACAACCCATCCCGAAATTCCAGGTGCGCAATGAGTGCAATGATGTTTTTTTTCCATTTACTAAGGTCTGATGGTCGATCGGAGCGCTGGTCCGATGACATCGGCCACACCTGGATAGTTTTGAGGACAAAGAGCTGGTTAACACCACGAGCAAGTCGGAATTCAAAGGTCATGCCTTAAATTCTTGTAATGTGAATAGATTCACATTTAGCAAGGGTAAGGGCAGAGTAGATGGGACAACCACCTGGATGAGTTTTCTCATCTGACAACTGACAACACACAATTCAATAACTTGTGCCGTTTGCTCCCCAATTCTGACTTAGTGGAACATACCTGGAAGTGCCCACGGGCCCACGCATCCACGTCTCACTGTCTCATGGATCACCGCGGCCCTCAGTGGTCCTTCGTTCTTGTGGTCCTCCGAAATGCCGCTTCCTGTTCTCAACCCTTTCCCCAGGATCGGAGGATCGGTAGGGTGCCCAGCGCGGAAGAGGAGACAGCTTCCCGGAAGGCACTGTTCTTCACTGCTGAAAACTGTTCTTCTTATTCCGCGCCGACGACGTGATCGCAAGGCTTGAGGAACTTGAGTGCTAGAGGTTCTTGATGAGTGCTAGCGCGCTCTGACAGGCTCAGGTTTTTTGTGGACGGCTTCTGACTGGCCATGTTTTTGCGTGCACGCCGTGGCACGCTGTTGGGCTGTGCAGGTGAAAGCCAACTTGTCGTTCTTGCTTCAAACAGTTGAGATCACAGATGAGCGCTGTCTTCAAGCGTGAGCAACCCTCATTGTGGACCAAGGTCCAACCCCAAAGATGGCGGCGTGTGCACATATCAACTCTTGCAGTTTCCAGCGCGCGTCCTGGTTTCGACCCGCGGCGGTATAGTTGCCGGAAACATCTGAAGATGCGTTGTTGCTGTCGTGTGGGGGTAATGCGTTGTCGCTGGTGGGTCTTCTACCGTTCGAGTTGCCCAATCTTCAATGTTGGGCACCAGAAACCACGCGCTGGAAGAAGGTCTTGTTTTGCAAACCTGTGCCAACTTCGCAGGTGCTGAGGATCAAACTGCCTACTTGTCCAGATTTCTTCTAATCAGCGACAGTCAAAAGATCCATCAACCAGTGGACCCTCACTGCCGCACCAGGCACAAGCGGCGGAGGTGCAAAGCGATCGCTTCTACGCCGAGGTGGCGCTGGCACAGGAGCGGGAACGGCCCAGAACCGTTCTGTCGTTGTTGTTGCTGGTGTAAATTCGACGTGTCGTTGGGGAGCAGGATGACTGGCCGCACCCATCATGACGCATTACTAAGGTCATCCAAATCCAAGGTCCTTGGACGGGCGAGGTAGCAGATGGGTTTCCACAAACCAAAGGCTTACGGCTTACGCACGTCATTAGGTCCTTTTTGTGTGGGTTTATGTGCAAGCAATCAGAGCCCCATGTTTACGAGGCCCTCCCACCAACGGTCGAACAAATCTTTAGAACAGTTTTCCTTGCAAGCCTTTGGCTTCTGGAACTATGTCATGGTGGGATGGCAACCTTGAGCCTGTCACTGTTTTTCTAATAAAATCGTCAGCAGGTGGCTTTACATCATGTTGGAGGCTTCCCACTGAAGTGACAGGATAACACAAAAGCACCGCAGGGGGGCTCCCTCCAGTCGATAAAGCCTCATCAGACGGACCAAAAACACACGCCAAACTCGGTGGCTTTCTGACCGACTTCGGTCGAGTTGACCATCCGAGCTCTGGCGGAACGACGACGAACCGGCGGCCTTCCCTTCCGGTCGCCGTGCTTCGTCCGTTCGTTGGCGCGCCGTGCGGCCCGACGGACGCAGGAGGCGGACGAACGGCATCTGGCGGAACTGGCAGCTCCGCAGGCTCCGGTCCGGCCGGGCCTGCTTTGGTCCGGTGGGCATTTCGGAAGGTGGTTTGGGTTGGGAGGTGGGGGGACGTGGCATCGAGGAAAGATGGGGTCAGTTCAACAATGAGGTGGGTTTTGGATGGGTTTGTTTTGGGGAGATGTCGCGTGAACAGGGTTTTTGGGGTTCATTGGTCCTAGCAGGACGTCTTACTTGGGGGGTTTTGGGATTGTCAAATTGGTCGGACAACTTAGTGAAGATCTCGCCTTTGTCAGGCGGTTCTGTATGTGCCGGTGTGGTACCCGGAGCAGGTCGATGCAAGACAAGCAAGTGAGCAGTCTTTCTTAGGGGATTACCGGACGAGCCAAAGCCGGTCCGCGCCGCGTGGAGGTCTCCGTCTCCACGGCACTGGCGATGCTTCGAGGTGTGCTGGCTGATGGCAAGGCCAGGCGAGGTTTGGTCAGGAGTTCAGGTTTGGCGCAAGATTGATATAATCCCGAGTTCCTATTTAAAAAACGGACCCAATTAAAAATGCAAGTGATGTCGGAAGCCCCCTTTTCTACCGAACCAATATGCGTTGTTGAATTGCCGCCCTTTAAGACCGCTAAACGACCAACATGGCGGCTTTTGGGGGAGTTTTCTCTATTAGGTTCCAAAAACAACCGTAACTGCCCACCTCTGTCCGCATGGCACAGCGAGATCACCCAATGGCACTCACGCACTTGCCAACGTCACGCAAACCCGCATTGCACAGCGACATCACCTTTCGAAAGCTTTAGTTGTTAGTCTAATGAAGAATCAGTATTCTAATAAAGGTATTTGTAGGGAAAAGGAAGACCGTTCGATCTGGAGTTCTTTTTTGTTCATACGAGTTTAATAAAGGATGCTATATAACATTTTCCTGGGTGACTTGGTTTAGAGGCTCGCCCCAGGTGATCCTATTTCGGACAACCCCGATTTCAGGGACCCCCTATTAAAAAGAAATGCACCCGAGGTTTTCTTAATAGGGGGCCGTGCTTCTTTTAATAGGTGGAAGGGATTAAATGATTTTCTGAATTTATATACTTGCAAACTGGGTTGAAAAGTCTGGGATGGAGGGAAGAACCAGGGTCTTCCTTCTTGCTTTCGCTTTCCCAGGGCCGTGGCGTGGCAACTGCGTCAGTTCGTGTGTTCGAACTTGGGGAAGCCTTCGGCAGATGAACAGCTTGGCCACTAGTCCAAAACGTGCAGGCACGGGTGGCCAAGCTGAACAAGCAAGAGGAGGAGTCCAAAGAGCTCTTCCAGAAACAGGAGACGCTTGGATCGGATCCTCCCAGCCCAGCAAACAGTTGGTACAGTTGGTACAGTACCATCTCTGGTTGGGGATGGTGGTTCAGACGTGGGCCGGCGGATTTGATTTGCTTGGATCGGTTCAAAAAACACGTTAAGACGAGTGACGACATAGTTCTTTGGACTCAAGGACCATCCATGCCCCAACTTGGGTTTCTTTCGTGGAGTGGAACACCCTGCGGTGGTGCCCAAGATAGTCTACCCTAGAAGTCCAGTTCGACTATACTTTTTCTTTGTGAAGTATAGGAAGTTCCCGAACTCAGGTACCCTAGTCAGACCATTCATTTTACAGTCTTTGACTCCCAGGGGTGTTTGGAATTCTAGGGCCGGGTCCATGTCGATGTCTTCGTCCGAGGGCAAGTCGTTTTCTGCCGTGTTGGGTGGGCTCTTGGGCTGGAGATGCAGGCAGAATGGTCGGGCTAGCGGCTAGAGGACGGCCTGTGACTGCTTCCCCGGGCTCAGCGAAAATCCGCCGTTGTTCTTCGATTCTCGGTGTGCGGTTCAAAAGATTAGGTTGGAGCCATCGGCTCCCGGATGCCTTTTTAAAGTTCGATTCAAGCTGATGCTGGATGAAGGGTTGTGTGGCCAAAAAAGGCTGGTGGAGTGTTTCAGCTCTCTTCCACGACCTCTCATTCAATGCCTCATTTTACCCCCATTAGTAGTGGTTGATTTATGACTTCGGAAATTCTGGAGAAGAGAGTTCGACTCCTTCTTCTCACAACACGGCACGAGCCCAGAGACGTCCTTCCGTGGCGCGCGGGGAAGATCGGCCGGTCCGTGTTGGACGGCCTCCAACTGTGGGACCCCCAGCGACCCGGATGTCCCCAAAACCGACGACCGGGGACGAACGTGGCGAACCGAACAGCTGATGACGGATCCGGGAACCGGGCGCACGACGCCGACGGAGGGATCCCTGGTGTCGCCCCGGACGGATCCAACACCCCGACACCCGGGATCCGTCGGGGACCTTCAAAGCTCGGAGGTTTGCTGCGCTGCCATGGCGTCGTTTTGGTGGAACGACTCGATCCACTGGGTCCCGAGGGCGCCATGGTGTTTTGTCCCAAGGCGAAGCCACCAGGAGAAGGTCACGAAGATTCGAGCAAGCTTCCAAGCGAAGACGCTTGGCCGAAAATGCCTTGGGTGTGAGATGCAGTGGGGGAAAGGTATGCTGGAGCCCATGTGGTCCCGCCATTTTCCGGTCAAACTCCTTGCATCATCCAGCAGTTTGCTTCGTGGAAGGGATCCCTTTTTGTTGTTTGCTATGGAGACACAAGGCAACAGACCCCGGAAAAAGAGCAGACCGAGAGTATCCGAGAGTGACAGTTGGGACCCGCTTTGCATGGCACAGTTTTGCAGCACACGCACTGTCGAATTCTCACACGTTGATCCTTTTTCAATCAACTGAAAAACTCCCTGACCGAAAATGAACAAGACATTTTTCAGGTCTGTGGATGGTTTGACTTGGACCGCCGCCAATTCAGACCACCATGGTCCAGATAATGTCGATAATGCCTTGCTATTTATTATATAAGCATATTACAAGTATAAACAAATTCATTGGAGTAGTTTTTGAAGAACACATGTGATTCTAGACCAAGCAGCACGACTTGCCGACTTACGTTCGGGACGCTGAGTGAAGATAAAGCCACCCATTGTGACTCCACATGGGAAGGAGCCTCCCATCTCAATTGGCTCGACTTGACGATGGTTTACTGTAAGCCGCACAATCCTGGACACCACCATTGATTCAATGGCCGGGTGATCCCGTTCAATGGCCGGGTGATCCCGACCAACTGTTGTTTTCTACAAAGGATTTTGCACGACAAAACCAGGTCGTTCCCACTTTTCAATGGTCTTTCCCGGGTCCGGCGAGGATCCCCGACGGCCGTCGAGAGAGCTCCTCGGAGTGATGAGAAAAACACTCGGGGAAGCTGAGACCCACATGGAATCTGATGGCATGGAAGGTTTTTGGAAGATGGATGCTCCCTCCACAAACCAGTGAAAACCTTCAGGTTCTGGAATGAGATTCTTCTTTCGCACTTGCGAGTTCGACCATGTGTTTCTTCGTCCTTTTTTCCGGAGGCGTTCTGGTGCCTCCGGCAGCGACTCAGCGTCCATTTCTCTGCCCAATTCGTTCGTTCCACCGACGCTGGTGGACGAGACTCGGTGAGGAAGATCTCGAAGGAGTTCTTGGACTCGGAGCTCAAAGAAGAGACGCGCATTTGGACCGGAGTCTGAGGGTGGGTGTGACCCTGGGTGTTGTTAGACTTGCTCCTTGTTCTTTTTCTTGTGGAATTGATGGATCAAGGAAGGAGAGATGGTTGGTTCGTGAAAGGAGTTGCAAGAGTCACGATTCATGATGCTACTGTTGATGGAGGAAGTGTAGAGGGCACCTGTTGGGCACCTGTTGTCACCAGGAAGCACCTGTTGGAGGGTGCTGGTACCAACCACTGCACCATTTCATGAACCATTTCACATGTTTCTTTCTGGGAGCCCAAGTCACGGCCCCATTCGGGCTCCCAGGAGCTACTGGTCCAAGGTGCGTGAGCACGAGCACAGGCCCCGTTCGTTCTGAGCGAATAGTGGGTTCACCCACTCAGTCCCTTCAGAAAACGGCCTTGGCATGAGGGGCCGCCTATAGGGTACCTTTTGGCCAAACCGAGTCTGGGTGCATTTTGGAAAAGAGTTGGAACTTCCTTGCTGAGTGCTGCTGGGTGTGGTCTTGAGGGATGATTCTTGCATCAAACAGGATCTGATAAGGGTCATGCATTTCCATGGATTCAAAACAAGATCAGCATCCCGAAAACACATCGTCCAAGGGGATCAAGAAATGTTTCAAAGGGGATCAAACATGATCAAACAGGATCTGATCACCTGTCAAAAGGATCTGATAAGCGTGCATGGAAAAGTGATCAGGTTGTGCGCTGGAGATGCCGGCAAACAGGACACAACATCTACTGAGACCAATGGATTTCAGGATTTCTTCAATCACACTGATTGTTTTATTCAGGAGCCTTCAGGGCAGGCCGTTGGGTCATTGATTGCACTGGTTAGCGTGCAGACGACGTGGGTGTGTGAATCTCGATGGTCAGCGCGCCTGGGTGGCGTGGGACCGCCGCCAGGCAGTTTCTGGCTGCTTTGCGGATTCAACATGCGACCATGCGAAAGGTCAGCAACATGCTCCTTGGCGGAGCTGGAGATGTTGAACGATTTTGGATCGCCAGAACTGGCGCAGCTGCACTGGAGCTGTTTTTTCTGCCTGATGCGTGGGGGGAGAAGGTGGGAGGGTCAAAACACTGGAGGGAGCATGAAAGCATCGGAAAGCCATAGCTGAAAGGTCAAGCTCTAAGGTCACAGAGGCTCAGAGGTGGAACTCGCCCCAGTTTCACTTGGCATGCTTGGGCACAGAGTGATGGCTAGATGATGAAAAGGTAGAGTAAACCTGATTAAGGTTTTTGGGGTTTACCTTTTTTTAGTGGGACATTTTCCAGTGAGTTACTTTTGTTATTCCAGGTATAGGCATAGGGTTTCTTTTTGTCTCATTGTCAAGATATGTATGACTTCTTGTTCAACCCTTCTTGCTGGGAAATTGATATGGGGGTACTATGCTTCTACCCTTTTCTAGATTCTAGACTTGTTTGCTCACCTTTGTTTTTTTTTCCCCGGCTTTATGATCCAGTGTTCGATTCCAGGATTACGAAGGGTTGACCATGCAACGATGACGGTGGAAACCCTTTGGGTCAAGCTGGATTTGGGTTAGTTTCAATCCAGAAAAGAGGGTTTTGTGGAATCCCTGTGGATACGTTGAAACTCGGGCTCTTGCTCAAAGCGAATGAAAGAGACGACACGTCTTCGTCTTCTTGACTGGTTCGGGTCAGGCTCTGAATTGATGGTCCTATGATTCCTATGACAGTTCCTGACAACTGAAGATATATACACCGGTGAAAGCTAACATCTCAAAAATCACAAATACAAAATCCTTGTGCCGTGTTAGTGTGGCTGCTTTTGGCTAGTGCGTGTCCTTAAGATTTGGAGCTATGTTAGTATTGAAAAGCTGTGGACACAAACCGGGGAATCTGGGCAAGGTTGGACGCTGTTGAGTTTAACGTGGAACAATCAAGATAGCTGCTTGTTGGCCATCAGGCATATTCTATGTTAGCATCTGCGGTTCCGCTGCAGAAACTAGCCATGCTTACTTGAGAGTGTTCTATGTTAACCTCCAAAAACCACATAGCCTCAACCACATAGTCTCAACCGGTGCTTTCCTATTTCTCCAGGAGGTCACCGTTGCAGGTGTGCCATCTTAATGAGCACCAACTTTGAGACCCGTGCTCCATGGTAAATTTCCCCGGAGTAACTGCTATCATCCGTATCCAAAAAGTGATCCTTCGAACTGTGACTGTCCTCTCCATCTACTCCCCGGGAGTCCAGGAAAGACGATTTTCAACATCCGTCTGCCACGGACTTTTCCGAGTTTACTCGGAGGAACTCCTCGAAACCCTTCGGCTCGTGCCAAAAGAACTGTCGAACTTGACCTCCCAGGCAACGACCCCCTGCCAGGTTCGGGAACTAGACCAGTCTACCCAGATGGCTGGGGGCGACAGGACCCGGGGGCGTCTCATGAAATAGACACCTCCCCAGCCTGCATGGTTTTCGACCGGGTCGCCCTGCGAACGTGGACCCGACCACCGCGGACGTTTGGAACGAAGAGACCACCGCGAGGTTGAAGAGAGCAGAAAGTCCGCACTGAGGCAGTGGCGCGGGGGGAGCGCGGGGAGTGGCCGGCCATTTTCGGATTTGCATGTCTGTACGACATTTGTTGTGTTTTGGTCCATCATGTCCACTGAGTCCACTTTTTTGAATGAAGACACCCCAGACATGGATTGAAACAACATCATTTGTATGATTCAACAGTCGACACTATATATAGGTTTCTGCTTCTGGGTCGACTGAGTGGGCATAGCTGGGGATAGACATTCAAGGACTCCAATGGCCCAATGGACATTCAGGACATGGCCATCCCAGCGAGTGAATGCTGAAAAGAAGGCCTTTCGAGACTGGATTTACGAAGTCACAGCGAAGCAAAGGGAAGCCATTCAGCTTCTCAAGAAGGCGCATGTGACAGTTGATTGAATTACTTGCCAAACATCATGGAAGACCACCGTCCTTTGTCCGGTTCCATGTCGTCGGTCAGGTTGGTTGGGACAGGGAGGTAACTTCC